TGCATTTGGATTCAATAAAGCCTAAGAAGAGCTTAGGTGAAATTAAGTGTCTACATCTGAATATGCAGTAAAAAATTCCTCTGTTCATCTGTGGGATAGCTCTTGGAAAAAAAATTATCTTATATAGTGCCTTCTTGGTTGTTTTAAAAGCATCTTGGGCACCAGAGTTCTGCACTGCACAAGCCCAGAACTGTTCTAGTGGGAATACTTGAGTATCTTGTGCTTCTAGAACGCCCATGTAAACCCAGTAGAGATCCGGCTGCTGGGAATTGCTCTGCTTAAGTTTCTAAGGGGGTTGATGTGATAGACTCTATTGCATGGAGATAATCAAAATAATGCTCTAGTCTTTTTTTAATATACTATTATTACAGAGCCAACATAACTTCTTGCACGGTAGTGTACATGCAGGAGACCACAGCTGGTGGCTTTGGGTCTGAGAAGGTACAGAGACCTTACAGGGAGAATTCTGTAGCAGTAAGATAGACAGAAGGGTCTTTTCTGTTCTTGTACACTCTTTGTGATAGCTGAAGCTGCGGCCCTGGACTGCAAAGACAGTAAAAATTCATTAAGCATACAAAGCAAAACATAAGCATGGTAGTCTAGTGGCTATAGCATTCATCCGGAAGTGTGAATCCTCAGGTCTGGGCCCTATTCCAAGTTATGATTCTATAGTTTAGATTCTAAATAGATAGATCTTCAGATTCTGTAGTTAGATTCTATAGATCTTCAGATTCTATCGTTTTAACCAATTGTAGTCAATAATTGTTTAAAATGTAGAAACATTGAGATTTTTCTTTTTAGGAACAGCTATGTTTTTTCTCATTCATCGGATGAATTTTGCATGTCTTACTGCCCGGTGGCTCCACTTCACAGGGGTGGCACACACATAGCTGCATGGCAGCAGCACGCTTCAAGGACGGGAGACATGAAGGTTTAAATCTCTTAATGCTGAAGAAGGTGGATTGCTTCCTAGATGAGCTGTTTAACTACCTGACTGTTGCATAAAGCCCGATAGTATCACTTGCCACATCCTTATCTTTGAAAAGCAAAATAATCCATCAGGTTTTTTGAAAGTATACCTGAAGACCTGCAGGAATCTGGGCTTTGGGTCACTTTCTGAGCTTTTTCTTGTCCTAACAGATAGTCTTAAGCAGCTCCATCAAAAACTAACCTGTTTTTTCTGTTGCCGTACTGAGATGTGTAATACACTTAAACAGTGCATGTATGCCTGGATTCTAGTTTCATAGCCAAGCAGCTAAAAGGTACACGTGCATTAGTAAATCTGCATGTCCTTGGTCTCTTTTATCTACTAGTTAAAGAAATATTGTATTCTATTGCTTTTTCTGCTATTGATTTGCTTTGGCATTTAGGCAATCATTGAGAAAGGCTTATGTATCCTCTCTAGGAAACAGAAATAGAAATAGGAAGGAAATAGGAAATGACTGATAGGGATTCTCTATCCAGCCCTTCCCCTGTTTTGCAGAGTGGCATTTTCATCTCCTTTGGCTTCCTCTGCCTTTTTTCTTCCCTCCAGTTATCCAGCTATCTCCAAAATTAAGATAATAATAAAATATCGATCTTGCAGGATACTTTGATCTAATTAATGTTAGACATTCGCAGATTAAAGAAACTCTCCAGATATAAGTTTTGAACATAACATCTGAGTCCTGGCAACAGACAGGACAAATTAATTTCCAGTGTTGTATAAAGCTGTTCAGAGCACCTCTTATGCCAATATGCTGTCGGCCAAGAGAATGGAAGGCATTCAGCATCATTCGAAATCAAGCTTACGTACAATAAATCATGCACAAATGAATACTGAGATGGTGTAAATCGGAGTTGATTCATTGAATTATGTCAACATTGCTCTGTTAAAAGCAATAAACATAAGCTTTTAATGATCTGGCTCATTATTTTAAAATCACGGTCCTGTGTAAATCAGCCTTTAAATTGATACTTACTATATGTAGTTCATGTGCATCAGCAACACGGAATAAACCGAAAACATAGCCACTTCTGCGATGTCTGTTGACCAAATCCAGGGCCACTCCTGCATCTGTTTCAATGGTATTACAGTCTGCAGGTGTAACACTTGCTTTGTTTTGGGCATTAGAGCACTGCAGTAGTGTTAGAAAAAAAGCTGAAACTAGAAGCAGCATTTTGTTTGCAGTGTTAGGTCACTTCTGCCCATGCTCTGATAAAGCCAGTAGTCTGCACTTAAATCACAGTAGCCCACCAAAGTTATAAATGAATGCTAAAAGGGTTTTATATAAATTTAAGTGTTGTGTCAGAGGGCCATTACCTTGACCCAGGATTAGCATTTGTAAATAGCAAGTAAATGATTATATCGTGGTTGAACAGATTTTGAGAAAAGTAGGCGTTATGATATTCTCTGAATTACCTCTCAAAGGGACTATGTTCATGATTCTTTAAGCAGGCATTGTGCAATGGTGTTTTACTATGAAAAATACTTAGGTGTGCTGCTGAACTTGGCATTAAGAATGTCTGGTTTATGTGCAGGTATTATGCAATCTTGGTTTTCTGTTCACTGTAAAAACAGTTGAACTGAAAATATGCTGAAATATTTGTGGTCAAATGATGGCTGTATCCATATCCCTGTTTTTACAGATCCTTAATTAGCAAAGAACTATTGAAAGGGAAACAAGGACATCACTCAGATATGGAAAAGGGATATAGCTCAAGGTGCACTTGCAAGCTGGTGCTCTGTAGCTTCTATGTGAGCATCTGCTACTCTTCCAGCTTGAGGTAATTTAGAGCAGGCTTCTATCAGCTTTACATCATTTCAGACTGGTACACAGAATGGGACTGACTGGCTTATACTGATATAATCTGGGCATGGCATGAAGTGACATCAAGTTGCCTTTGCATTCTCAGTGTGAGCAGTTTTTTGTGCTCTTTGGCTGTAGTAGCCTTCACAGACTTCTTTAGAGAATTGCTGGTAATTTTTTTGTATCTATTAAAATAACTCAGTACATACTAAGATTCATACCTTTCACAGGATACGCCAATATCCTCTGCTAAGCAGAAGAGCGGAGATGTCTTGTATTCAAAATCTTTTATTCAGGATAGTTTAAGACATTCTTAAAAGGCAGTAATCGCTTGTCAGAGCATGGCTGAAGTTTGAATACAAAATTCAGAGTCTGAATAAGAAAATACAAAAATTCAATGTGAGTCCAAAATAACAAGGTCAGATTCAGATGAGAAATTTTCCAATTCCTGGTTAGTGTGAAGAGTTGGATCAGCTTCTCATAGAAAAAGGTGCTAGCTATTGACTTGAGTGTACATGTTTGAATTTGAAGTTTTTCTTTGACTTATTTTTGTGAGACACACTGGGAAATATAATGGGTAATCATACTTAACCCTTACCTCATTTCATTAATCCTTATTAAAAAAATCCAACTTCTAGCATGTCTAGTGTCTAAGAAATATTTTAAAATGCATAGAGCTGAAGCAGTGGTTTTCTTTTATAGTTAGCTCAGGACACACTTAACAGTTCTCTGGTAGTAGATATGCTCAATGGAGAATCTTATAATATTAGAACCGGGCGCACTCAAAACTAGTGTGAATCAGTTTAAAATGGATAAAAATAGTCCCCATGCAACGGGTGGTGAACTTCTGAAACTTGCTGCTGCAGAAAGATATGGAGGCAGACAGTATCAGCAGGGTCAGAAATGGCTTAGAAAAGTTAACGGACAGCAGGTCATTAAGTGGACACTAAAAAGATTAAGCAGATAAGTACTCCTTAAAATCCCTAGTACAATCACTCTGCATACTGGAAAAGTACAAGGGGAATGGTTTGCAGAAAGGGGGCAGGTCATATGTTTCTCCTAACCACAATTGTCTTTTGCTACTGTGAGAGATGAATACTGGGCTGGATGAACCACTGTTCTGATGCAGTACGGCATTTCTTTTGTTTATGTTTTTATAATGTTTCATTATAATAATTCAGAATTTCTTCTGGAATATTGAAAAAAAGCAGTGAAATAAATGTTGTGTAAATAATCAAATACATTTAAAATACATCTAATCAGTTAAAAATAATATTCACATCATTGCTGCATTCCAAATCAAAGCCCCATTCATTACTTACAATATTGTTTAATTTTTCAAGTGGGCAGTCATATTGAATAAAGGCACCAGATTAGGTAATTTATAACGTAATTCCCTTAATCTTCTATTGTTTGCAGATTGTTTGTTCTTTTTTTCTCCTTTTGTACTGTGCTGTTCATTGTGACACCAATCATTTTCCTGACAGTGGCTTATGTATTTTTTATGTATGAGATAGAAACACTATGAATAAACAGTAGAAAAATGTACAATTCCTGCAAAATTGACTGCAGAAGTAAAAGTAAGATTCCATTCCCACTGGAGAGAGTTTTGTCCTTGATTTCTTCGGAAGAGAAAGATTGGACTCTATTATTAAAGTACAACATGGACAAGCACTCCAGGCACAGTCAGAGCAGTTAATTGGATATTGGTTGTACTTGAGTCAGTATAATGTATTTTTATCATTTCTCATCCACTTTGATATCTTTTTTAATACTTATTTTGTTTTTATATTTATTGCTTGTAAATTTTGTGTGTTGTCTTAATGAAGCTATTTCTGTAAACAGATTGCTGGCAGGAATCGGAATGTTTATCCAAACATGGCATTTCTCTTGTCTAGCTTATCAAAAGCTTGTTTATCTCTGTACCTTTTACCAAGGTTTGACTTGCAACAGTAAGAGGTGATCCACATTCAAGCTTTAAGGAGTTGGTAGTAAACATCCATCCCAAACCTCTCTCCAGAAATCTGGGAGAACACACCAAAAAGCAGCTTCTCTTCCCCACTTGAAAAACAGGATATCAAATGCTTAATAAATAGAACTTTACTCCAGAGGGGAAAGAAAAACAGCTGACAAATAAAGGAGATAATATGCAACAACAAATTGCTCCTTTCCAGTACAGCCATAACTATTTACAGATATCTCTCATTTCCCGGGAGGAGAACTGCTGTGCTAGCTGGCTGTTCTCTACCTTCTGCAGTAGTGCTTCACTCCCAGGCTGGGGTTATCAAGTCTCACAGCTCAGTCATTAGGTAGCAAGACCTTATCTGTCTTGTAACCTGTGCTGCTCTGCAGCTGTGGTTGTTTCTGCTCCTAAGCAAGAGAACAGCTAAGAAAGACACATGCGGCTCCAGTTGTTCATAGGTGAATTCTTGGCTAGCTTCTCTTCACTTTTTTTTGAGACTGTGATGCCTCATAGCTTCAGACCAGGGTGGTCTGACCTTACACCTTGACGCAAAAAAACCCCACCAAGTTTTGCAGTTTTTGGGGTAGCTCTGCATTTAACACAAATGCCCCCAAGTATGATGGAAAAATATGTAAATGCATCATGTCTTCATTCATGTCTCATTTTTATCTGCTGGGTAAAAACAGGGTGCCCTCTGATTCAAATACAATGTTATACAAATTTGCTTTGATTATGGTCTTCAAAGCAGCAGCTGCAGCTATAGCTTCCCCGCCCTGCCTGGAGCTTATTTTTCTTTACCAGTCACCAGTTTTTTATCAAACTTTTAGAAGCTTCATTGCCTTGTCTATCAAATTTCATTCAAACAGACCTTAAGTTCAAAAGCTATTTGGAAAAGGCCAACTGTCAAATGAGCAGGTTGACAATGTAGTTACAGAAGTCTCATTGCTTAGGAGGCCTCAAGAACTAATACAGGCAATAAAAAGGGTGTCAGTGTTCCTTGTCCTGTCCTCAGTGTCTTTGGCTGCAAATTGCTTTCTAGAAAAAAACACTCTAATTGTAAGTTGATGACCTTAAGGCTATGTTATGGGACTGGCCTGTTTGCTGAGGGGCTTGAGAGGCTGGGGCAAAAGATGGAGATAAGAATATGATGTTAAGAATAGGGTCAGAGGAAGTTCCAAGGAATTTGACTTTTTCAGAGCTTGTGGCATTATACTGTTCTTTAAATTTAAGCTTTAACTCTTGCTTATAAGTTGTCGTAGGTTAACATAAGGGAAGTATTGGCAAGTGTTGTGGTTGTATAGTATTTATGGTTAGATCTAGCGGGAGGTCTTTAAAATCTACCTTTGAAATCAAAATAATATATGTACATTCTGAATACAGCTGCTTAATGTGTATAATCTCAGAGATGCAGAAGGAAATATTTAACCATGAAGTGTGTACAGTAAGCAGCTTCTGAAGTCAGTCAAATAGAATTTATAATTAATTTATTTTATAAAAACCTTGATTTTTAAGCCCATCTTGAGAACTTTGATGTCTGGGCCTTGCTTTTTAAAATCTTTTTGATTGGCCAAGGATGAGTGTAGGAAAAGGGTAGCTGAAAAATCTAAACAAATGCATAGCCAATGTATGCATAAATAAGCCAGCATATCTTATTCTGTACCCTTTGAATATTACTGTCCCTTTTTTTTTGAATTCATGATGCCTCACCTATATTCAGAGTTGAAGGCTTGATAATATCTGATAAAAATGTCACTGACCTGGAGGTCACTGATCATTGGTCACCTGTGCCTAAATAAAAAACATTGTCCACGTGAAACTGGAATGTTTGCTCAAATAAATATCATAGCAGATTTTAGCTGGACATTGCCCAGATAGCAAGTTAATAATGGATGATATAATATCATAAGATCAATAAGTGTTGCAAAACTGTGAAATGAAATTGAAAAGTGAATTCAAGTCTGCCAAAATCCACCCACTTCTCATCTCCAGTGACTGGATGGGGGGGCTTCTGTGTGTTACTGGCCTGTTCTCTACTGCACAAGGAGAAACAGTGCTTACCAGTTCACAGCCCTGGGAAGAGAAGAGAGCATTTGAGGTGTGACTGAAGGTACATAGGGTGTATTACTGCCAGCTGTTTTGCTCAGTTTGGCTAGAAGGTGAGAGACCAGGCCGGAAAATGGAGAGGTTCGGCATTATCTGGCATGTTTTTTTAGAGGATTTGCTGCAGTCTTATCTGATCATGCTGTCACATAGAATAAACGTGTGGAGACCAGATGCATTGCATCCTGTGCCCTTATCTGTCCATGTGGGCGTGTTAGAGGGAGAAAGCCACAGTGCTGGCCCACTCGCAGATTGGCATAAATATACTGAATCAGGAGCAGGATTTGAAGTAGTGATGACTAAATATTATCAGCTATTAATCATATCAATGTCATCTGGGAGTGCCGCAGTATCC